AATGAGGGAAATAAGTGAAGATATCCTATACTTTAAAGCTATTTGAATGAATGAATAAATGCACGAATGAGGTATAGTCTCAATGGCTCTGCAGAACACTCGAGTCCACCGAATAGCCTATCCATTTATCAGAAGCGAACTATTTCACCTGTCGATCACTGGAGGGTAGGCTATTCCAGAAAGCAGGGATATCTTACCATCAAACATACAATGAACTATTGGTAGATTTACCCAAACCTTCCAAAACCGCATCTGGGAGTATATCAACCAACTCAGATTATGTGGTTAACACACCAGACATTCTCAACAGACCGAGGAATTGACGAGTCACCAAAGAAAACGGAGTCTAAAAAGTGCGCCACACTACCTTCTTCTTCTTCTTCTTTTGTTTAATGGCTATTTACATACTTAGTGCATATCGCCACCTATTTGGTTGTACAATAATTTTTCTGTTATGTAAACCGGTTTTCGGTTATTTTTCGGTTAGATTCTGGGTGTTTTTTTAATGATTGATTTTTATTAAAATAATTTTTAGGTCCCTTCAAAAACTGTCATGGAAACGTTTTAGCATGCATCATTTATTTCAGCTATATTTCAAAATATATTTTATATCTAATTTATTGTTTATCCTTGTCTCAGGTCCAGACTCTATGCAAATCTATCATAAAAACACATTAAAAAAACTTAAACCATTTCAATATGTATTGCAAAAAGTAACAATTTGACAGTCCATCTGTTGTTTTGTCATTTTAACAAAACCCTGATATGTTTTTTGAATGATGTGTGTGTGTGTGTGTGTGTGTGTGTGTGTGTGTGTGTGTGTGTGTGTGTGTGTGTGTGTGTGTGTGTGTGTGTGTGTGTGTGTGTGTGTGTGTGTGTGTGTGTGTGTGTGTGTGTGTGTGTGTGTGTGTGTGTGTGTGTGTGAAAAAAACACAGAATATTTGTTAATAAAAAAAATTCAAACTCTCTAAAAGTGTGGAAATATTTGAGTGAATTTTGCATATTAGCCTATATAGCGAGACAAAAGAGTTAGCCATTTTATATACAAAAAAAATAAAATAATACAAATTCATTTTCATAACACAAATATCTGAGAAGTGCTTTTTGTCCACCGAGTTAAACGTGCTCACAGTTGTAGAAACACTCACAGATTTATAAAATCAGCCATTATATAATTTTGGCTACAAATACAATGAATCATAAGTTCAGTACCATACCATAAACCCATAATATGTGTTTGTTTTAAAGTGTTTGTTCTGTTTTAATAACACAGCACCTCTGAGAATAATAGAGACAATCTCACAATGGAGGGCTTACTTAATGGACAACGTTCTCTCTCCAGCTCTCATTAACTGGATAGTAGGAGAGCAGAATATTCAGAGAAAACGAGACTCACCTGCTCCAGAGGACATGGCTGCTCTTTCTGTGGGTCACGGTCCGGAATGACAAAACTGCCAATGTAAATTATAATGAAGCATTATAAATTATCCCAACAGTCCTTATTTATAGAATAATGATTTTCTTTGTGCATCAGAAGTACTACAGTTAATTTTTTTTACTGGAATCTTTAATCTTTTAAAATCTTCAATACACTGACCCCTCATATTCAAAGAGCCATAACTCCATAACCAAAAAGAAAAGGGTTATTTGCAGACCCTCGGGCATTTCTCTCAATTCAGCTCCTTCAGGCTTTCTTAAGATAGCACTCACATTGATTCTCTGTGTTTCTTTCCAATCCATATCTCTGACTGTAATGATTAACACATGCTGCTTTGAAGAGAAAGTGACTCATAAAGCCTCAGTTAGGGCAGTTTGCTTTTCAATTCTACATGCAGATCTTGTCAGACAAACAAACACTTCGTGTCCATGATGTTAACTTTGTTTCTATAATGCTTTGCTCAGGGGCACATTGTGCAAGTTTATTATTCGAACCAGCAGCATTTCTTGATCTAAGCTGCATCACACCACCCGCAATTAATTATTGACTAGTAACATGTAAAACTTTGTAAAATGGACACTATGTCAACTTGATAAGTAGTTCTTAATTGCAATTCATGCAGGTTTTTTTTTACATGCTAACTGTTTTACTGTATCTTTCAATATGTTCAAACCATTTTTTTTAAACAATAAGATAATGCTAACTCCTATCCGTTTGGATTTGTTTTGTTCAAAACGTTACTCCATCAAATTTACCTCAGAATTGATTTAATTCAAAATGATTATCTTCGGTTTTCCCTAGTTTTATGCTATTTTTTTTTATTATTTTCTAGTATTATATTTTGTATCGAATGGTTTACACTGACCCCAAAATTACATGTTCACACAATAAAATCGTGCACTGTAAAAACAAAAATAAAAAAAAATAAAGTTGCTGCCTTCAATTTTGAAGTACAATCAACTTGGATGTTTAAGTCATTTCAACTTAAATTGTAAAACACCAACTTAAAAAAATGAATCTTGTTTAAGTTATGAAAAAGTTGAAAATTGCTTAACTTATTTTGATGAGTTAAAGCAATGTAAAAACACATGTTGTTATAACTTATTGATCATATAATTGGATTCGTTTTTTCTGTATTTCTCAAAACATGTACAGTACTTTTGAGCCCACATATAGACATGTGTGTTCAGGCAGCTTGAAAAAAAGGCTAATAATAAAAAGCACATAGATGAAGCTTCATAAAAATACATTTTAACTGAGTTTTGTCTGGTAAGGAAAACATTTGAAAAGAATTTGAGAGGAATATAAGCCTCATATTTGAAATTCTTTTTAGGCCCTGAATAGAAGTAATTTCAACAGGACAAGCGCATGAACACGCAACCTAAACATGTCCTCAGTTGTCTCGTCATGAACAATAAACCAATGAAAACGAGTTCATTTCAAATTCTACCGTTTTAGAAATTCATTCTGCAAAGAAACCATAACACAAGTGCAGGAGTCATTGCCATCTCAGCTCACCTGTACTGTGGAAAGCTCCTCTTCCTTCTGAAGTCTTGTCTAATGTGAAAGTGTGCCTTTAGTCCAGGTGTATTTCATCCCTCTACCCCTCCCTGCCTCCCAGAGCAAGCATTTGTAAATCTGGCCGCCACACCAGTCTTTGAAACACATTTATTAGCCCATAAACACTGGCCTTCAACCTATGATAAAACACCATTGAGCCCAACCTTTGGAATCATCGCCCAAGGGAAGTCCAATTACAGCAGTGTAAAACACTGGGAGTGATCGTGGCCATATTGTGTCTTAACTTTGATGTGACAGAGAGTTTTCCGAGCTGTCGATAATTGACTTCCAAGTCCTTTTTTGGACGACTACACGGGACAAGACGCTACAATGGTGTACAATAGATCATTCTGATGGATAACGGAGTCCGAATGGTCTTAAATAAAATTACACCTGACATATTGATCAGAGCTGCTTTTCTGGCAGGTGATGGATGACCTTTTTAAAGGACGTGAGAAGAAAATGAGAGATTGACTCTCTGTTCGGAGATAGAAAAAAAAGAATCTACACACTGATGGCTGTGTCAGACAAAGACTTTAATTATTTCGGAGCACAAAGAGTGGCCATACACAGTAGCTGCACAGATATGAGACGAATATGTTTAAAATTCCTCTCTAATAGCGAAGCATCTGTAGCGTTAGACTGTGTTCTTGAACAGCTACATGTGATTAATATTCTGTGAAACGCTTCTCTTTATGAACTTAGCCTACATTTTTTTATAACTCGCATGTGTTTACCACAGCAAGTGATGTGTGGAACAACACACTCACGTACGCAGACGCACACAAATGCAAAGGTTGGTCTCTTTAGACACCGACATTTTGGTCCCATTGAACAGTGTTTATATTATAAATGTGAGTGATATTAAAGAGATAGTTCACCCAATAATCAATATTCTGTTATTGTTTACTCACTGTCATGTGATTTCAAATTACAAAATGATCACCTTTACATTCACCTTAGCTGAAGGAATGTCAGAACCAAAAGTTGTTATTCCCTGAAAACCTTCCCATTCCATTCATGCTCGCTTAGGCCTACATTAAAATATGTCGCAGAGTTGCATGTTGACAAAGTCCCTTTAAGACAAGTCATTTAACTCGGCGGCCATCATTGAAACGCCTCTCACAGGCATGCAAGTGCAGCTCCTATCTTTTTGAATAGGGGAAACATCAAATTCTCCAAAACTGTTCGCCAAGCTTACGATTCAATTTCATATTTGAAATCACCAATTAAATCTGACAACAACTATTCTGTTTCTAAACGCTCGAATCATGACAGAAAACAACATTTTTCAGGCTGGATCAAGCTAATGGCAGTGGAAGTGCGCGTCTGACTGACTCCGGAGCTTCTAACGGCAGCTGCAGTGACAAGATGACTTTACCAAACGGTGATTGGCTCTTATTTAGAAGGCGGGACTAATTCCGCTATATTATATTGAGCGTTTCACTTTTCCCCCATTCAAAACAATACGAGTGAAGCATCTTATGTAATTATATAGGATTTGAGAGCTACAGTGGAGATTTTCAGCAAATAATGATTTAAGTTTCAGCCATTTCCTTACATATTCCACATTATATGTGGAATATTTATGATAGTTACGTGCTTTTTTCTAGCTACATGTATGCTCAGCTCGCACATACGCCTTGAATTTATTTTGCACTATTCCACAGTCCAAAAAGAAATAACAAATATAACTGGAAACAACAATAGACATTTTTTGCCATTCATAACTTCTGGATAGAAATAGCACAGACACAATGAAACTCTAGTGCACTTGTGTTGACGCTTGTGTTCACACACACATTATATCAAATGGAGTACACTTTGAAGGGCCATGTGTGCATGCATACGCCAGTGTTCATGTTAAAACTGAAGTTTGTGCTTTATGTTTTTGAATGGAAAAGTGCTGCATGGACATTCTGCAAAATGTCTCCTTTTGTGTTCTACATAACAAAGAAAATCATTTTCAATAGCATGACGGTGAGTAGACAATGGCAAAATATTTATTTTTTGTCTGCACTATCCCTTTAAGAAAGAGAATGCATAAGCTACAGATGACGTGTGATGAAAAGGTAAAAGACACAGGTTAGCGGCACTATGGTGAAGGGATCTTCTCCTGCGCTCTCGTTCTCAGGCCGCAGATGTTTAGACTGTGGGTCCGAATGAGGGCGCTGAGCCCGGCAGTGTTGCAGCTGATCAGAGGACAGTGGTATGGCGCCCATTGTGGTACAGTGGTTTTACTGTTTTGTTTTTGTGCTTGATATGTGTAGAATGATGGAAAGATTGTCGGAGGAAGGTGCCCTGAATGTGGGCACGCATTCCTATAAGCTCTATACAGTATCTATCCAATGGCAAACACACATGCACACGCTGTATATTCAAATATATATTCTGCATCAGATGTGAATTAATACTTATATTGAATACTTAAGTGTATTTAAATATGTCTGCTTATAATCTATACAATCTACAAGAAAAAAAAAACACAGCAGGTGGGACACAAATGACAATAACAAGTGGTCACACCACCAATAACAGTAAAAGTGATTCACTGTTTAGACGCTAAAACAAAATGATTAAAGACACAGTTCATCCAAAAATTAAAACTATGGTGTTTTTTTGTCCTTTTTTAAGATTTAGCCATTATATAACAAGTGCTACATAGACAATCTTTTGTTTCCTTTTGTGTTCAACGTAAAAAATATAACTGCATACAGGTTTGGAATGACATTTTTGGGTGAACTGTTCCTTTAAACCACACGCACAAGTTCAGTTGGGGGAGGAGCCAGAAACGTTAAGAATAATCTGCAGAAAGTGGCTAGTTTTGCTAAAACAACTCACTCGAGACGGACTGTTGCAAAAGGGCACAGACGGAAAGACGAATACAGTTACTGTTCACGTGACAGGACTAGAGGTCTACATACAAGACACTGGCCCATTAAAAATCCGAGTTATAGTCTCCTCCCCCCACAAATCCCTGTCTCCTCTCTCTCCTCTCATAGCCATGGTCTGGAATCAGCTTCATCATCATCATCACCATCCTCAGCATCAGTGAAGTCGTTCAGCCACGGCTATGTGTTCAACAATACTGGGAAGAAATAAATCAGACATCACATACCCAGCTAACAGGGAACGTTCTGAGAACTTTGGCTAACAGAGGTTCTATCAAAGTAATGAAAAACTTTAATTTCAGTAACATTAATAGGACATTTGTTCAAAGTTACAGTTTTTCTCAGCCACTTTGGTGCTACTTGTTCAACATTCAAGTCACTTATGCACATCATAAAACCAATTTCTCATTCTTTTGAACAAATTGCAATTGCTTTGGTACATTCATAATATTGATTATGTGCAATTGTCTGCTGTATTCTACATTATCAGTCGCTAATGTCATGTTGATCAAAATATATTATCAGAGCCGGACAGTAACGGAGTACATTTACTTGAGTACAGTACTTAAGTACAATTTTGAGGGATCTGTACTTTACTCAAGTATCATTTTTGGGGAGTACTCATGACTTTACTCAAGTACATTTGAGAGGCAAATATTGTACTCTTTACTCCAATACATTTCTATCCATAACCGTGAGTACACGAGTAAAATAAAAAAATAAAAATCTCGGAAACCCTCAATTTGTTGTTTCCATCTCAAACGTGATTGGATTGTGCAGGCGCCACTGATTGGGACAGCCTATCAGCAATCACTTTCAGCTTTCCGCCAAAGTCAACTCCATGGTCAGATTTTATATTACACATTAATGTAAGCCAAGCATTTGGTTTGATGTTCTTGAGTATGTGGTGTGTTTAACACAGTCAGGTTCAAATGTGGCAGTGGCGTAGCCACGAGGGATTTCTGATTTCTTAAAAAAAAAACTTTAGGAGGCAAAATATATTTTTACTGATTATGTGAATTACACTGCGCAAACCAAAGTAGGCTACTACCCAGCGAATGAAGAAGGGTTGGCGCTCAGTCTCCACAGTACATAAAATATTCATTTTGTTTTATTTTATTTTTCTGGTTTGCATTTATGAGGAAAAAACAATGTTATGGACGTGTTCTCCGTTACGGACGTGAGCGCTCTGAAAGAGGCATAAAAAATGCTTTAAAACTTTCACAGAGACATCAAACAGAAAACACAAAACCTTTCTTTAACCTGAATTTCGTTTTGCATTAATTGTATCTTAATTTTAATCAATGTTTCATCAACCAATTGCCTGGGTTTAATAAATAAGAAGTAAATAGCAGACGATAGATAAGAAACGGAGGCGCCGGCGCGTGAACTGGATCTCGTCTCATAAATGAACTGAAACTCAGTGTATAAGGTAGCCTACTTGCCTCTCACAGACATGTCTACTTTTAAACAGAAAAAATCAAAACGAAAGAAAACAGACTACAGACTGCTCTCTGCTTATGTAATCCGTATGAAATGTGCATTTCTCTCTGGCGCGTTCACTACTGAAGATCGCGAGTCAGCATCGTCAACTTCATCTAGCCGACACTGACAAAGAAAACACTTGTTTATTAACAAGTGTTTATTAATAAACAATTAAAATATTTCCTTGCTATATTTTACATATTCATAATCATTCCTTTTGCCGGTTCTTTGTGACAGCTTTTAGGTGCTTTATTGGCAGCGCCACCCTTACATGTGGTGTGTGTGTGTGTGTGTGTGTGTGTTGTCCCCGCATTTAAAGATGGGACCCCCCAAAAATGTAATTAAATTAAATAAAGCAACATGGTAAAAAGATGAAAATGACTTGATTTTACTTTCAATTCCTTTTACATTCTCCAAGGTATTAACATTTTTCATAACTCCATGTAGGACGTTTCTGTGCATAAATGTAAGCACTGTGGCAGTAGATTAGTAATGCAATATTTAGAAAATCTACTCTTGTACTCTTGATACTCAAGTAGTTTTAAAAACAAGTACTTTAGTACTTTTACTTAAGTAGACATCTGAATGTAGTACTTTTACTTGTACTTGAGTAAAATTTAGCAAGGGGTATCTGTACTTTTACTCAAGTAACAAAGCTCTGTACTCTGTCCGCCTCTGTATATTATACTGGTTCCTTGTTGAAAAAAAGGTCAATTTGAACGTTCTGAGAAAATTCAGAAATAACGTTTTTCATAACTTAAAGGGTTGGTTCACCCAAAAAGGAAAATTCTGTCAGTAATTACTCTCCCTCATGTTGTTCCAACCCTGTAAGAGTTCGTTCATCTTCGGAACACAAATTAAGATATGTTTGATTAAATCTGAGAGCTGGATCACTCCTCCATAGGCTTCTTAAGGGATTGAAACTGGCCGGGCCAGAAGTTATGAAAGACATCATTAAAATAGTCCGAGTGACTACAGTGGCTCAACCTTAAGTTTATCAAGCGACGAGAATACTTTTCGTGCGCAAAAAAACAAACAAAAATAACGACTTTATTCAACTATTCATTTCCTTCTCTGTGGGCCGTGAGATTTCACGTAGTGAAACTACGCAAAGCTTCTGTGTTGCACGTCACGCATCACACACATGACCAGCGTCGGCCAATAGTTAGCCTGCGTGTGACGTGCAACACAGAAGCTTTGCGTAGTTTCACTACGTGAAATCTCACGGCCCACAGAGAAGGAAATGAATAGTTGAATAAAGTCGTTATTTTTGTTTGTTTTTTTGCGCACGAAAAGTATTCTCGTCGCTTGATAAACTTAAGATTGAGCCACTGTAGTCACTCGGACTATTTTAATGATGTCTTTCATAACTTCTGGCCCGGCCAGTTTCAATCCCTTAAGAAGCCTATGGAGGAGTGATCCAGCTCTCAGATTTAATCAAACATATCTTAATTTGTGTTCCGAAGATGAACGAAAGTCTTACGGGGTTGGAACAACATGAGGGTGAGTAATTACTGACAGAATTTTCATTTTTGGGTGAACTAACCTGTGCTGTCTTTAAAGTTAAGTTAATGGGTTAAATAAGCTATTCGCTGGAAAAAGTTAAAAAGGTGAGCTTAAAAAGTTAAAATATTAAATTCATTAAGTTAAATTTCAGTAGTTCTTGCGAGGTGCTGCCCTCTACTGGTCAGAGTTAATAATTCAGTGAAGCACTCTTCAGTTGAACTCGGTGAGCTCTTCAGTTGACAGGCAAGAAAGTCAGTGCTGATTGATGTTGCTGTATTTATTTCTGATACGCTTCTGCCTTGGAGACTATGTGCCTGTAAGTAATGTGTAAATCATTTTCAATTACTTGCATTGGTAAGGAATGTCATGTTAGAAACGTTTTTATGTTTTGGTAAACATGTGCTCTGTTAGCTAGCAGTACAGTTGTAGCTAGCTCTGCTATTTAATTGTTTTGTGAGTTGTAGGTGAACTGTGTTTTCATACAGTAGGCTACATTGCTTGTTGTATTCATTAGGCTACAGTGCTTATTTTACACTTTGAGAGGAATTATACTTATGTATGCATATGTTCATATTTTGTGTACTGATTTATATTCTTATTCTGTAATGTTTCAGTTTTACAAAACAAAACAACAAGAGGAAACAACTTCAGTAAAATACAAGAAAAGTCAAGCCTTGTGTGTTTATTGGAGGACTTTTGAATGTTCACTGGCTGTCTAGCTTTGCACAAGAGATCGCATTGCAAGGGCAGCACGGCAAAATGTTCTTAGAACCTTTTTTTAGAACATCATATCTTGGAACATAATTTCTGATTCTATAATGACACTCATATGGAAAGTTGCTGTACCTGGTATGTTTCAGTTCTCTGCTTTAGGAGTCTCCTTGTCTGTACATAGAAGAATAAAAGAGGAACAGTAGTAAAAAATGTTCGATCAAAAGATGACCAATATATATGACAAAAGATTGTAAATCTTACCCTTGGAGACAATGATGTTCTCTGCTTGAGCTTCTTCATCTCCTGGAGCCCTGAGACAGTATGAAGTGTAAAGAGAATTATAACTGGTGGTGTTTCTGTTCAAACAAAAACGCATGAAACGTTTGTCAGAATATCAAAGAGGCTGGGTGAGACTAACCTGGGCTTCTGTTTGAGACTGCATCGGCATCTGCGGCCTGCAGGGTGCACACATACAAAACCATTTAGAACATATGAAGGAATGTCAAACTTTACAAACAACCTGGAGGGATTTATTTTGTGATAATGAATGGGATAATAGGGAATAGGAATATTAATCCCATACTAATGTTATCATCGAAACCTGCATGAAATATTGATAAGTGAGTGGGTCTTTATTTATATTTCTGACACAGAGTGACATATACTCATGTGTCTAATTTCATGATAAAACATCTCATGCTCAGTTGAATAAAAGCACTGCTGTATTATTAATATCCGTGAGGCAGCTCGGTTTAGCTATTGCACTCTGATCTCTTTTGTTTAACAGTACTTTCTGAGTGATTTAGCTTCTAAATGAAGATGATGAGTTATGACTTTTTAACAAATTAAAAAAGACGCTTCTTACTGAGAATAAGAAGCATTCCGAGAGCGAACAGCACCACAGCAAACGCCAAACCGCAGATCCTCAAACTCTCGTAGTCTGGTTAAGAAATAAAGGTTTTTTTTATTTTCTAAGTAATCTTTCAAGAAAGACTCAAGCTTATGTGAAAAAAAGTGATTCGCAGTTTGCAAAACCTGCTTGTGATATTCTTGAGTGTCACATGGATATTCAAGGGTAAAAAATTGTGGACGCTTTACATGCACTGATAAATTTAAAAAACAATAAAGCCTGGGATAGATAGATAGATAGATAGATAGATAGATAGATAGATAGATAGATAGATAGATAGATAGATAGATAGATAGATAGATAGATAGACAGATAGATAGATAGATAGATAGATAGATAGATAGATAGATAGATAGATAGATAGATAGATAGATAGATAGATAGATAGATAGATAGATAGATAGATCTGGGGTTAAGTTACCTTTGTATCTTTAACCACTGAGTTACCACCATCCATCCTGGGCGTTAAAGGGATAGTTCGGCCAAAAATGATATTTAGCACATGCATTGCTCACCCTCAAGCCGTTCGAGATGCATATGTCAATCTTGTTTCAGACGAACACATTTTCAGTTATTTTAGAAAATGTCTTAGACCCTTCAGTGGATATAATGTGAAGCAATGGGGTCCACCTCCTTCAAGTCCCAAAATGTGCATACATCCTTCACAAAAGTAATCCATCCGGCTCCAGGGGGATAAACGAAGGCCTTCTGAGGGTAATCCGTGCGGTTTTGTAGTAAGAATATACATATTTAAAACTTTATAAATGAAAATATCTGACTTCCGGCAACGATCGACGCGCGTTCACGGGTGATGGAAGTCGGCGCGGGAGGTAGGACGTAGCGTAGGAACCGTCGTGACGTAGACGTTGTTTTGCTCTGCTCTCTGGCTGCGCAGGCGCGTTCGTTCTACGTCACGACGGTTCCTACGCTACGTCCTACCTCCCGCCTACCTCATACGCCGACTTCCATCACCCGAGAACGCGCGTCGATCGTTGCCGGAAGTCAGATATTTTCATTTATAAAGTTTTAAATATGTATATTTTTACGACAAAACCGCACGGATTACCCTCAGAAGGCCTTCGTTTATCCCCCTGGAGCTGGATGGATTACTTTTGTGAAGGATTTATGCACATTTTGGGACTTGAAGGAGGTGGACCCCATTGCTTCACATTATATCCACTGAAGGGTCTAAGACATTTTCTAAAATAACTGAAAATGTGTTCTCTTACGAGAGGTTCTCTCGTATTGCGTAAGCTAGCTTACGCTGCGGGAAAGATTCATCTTTGCTGAGATATTGAAGCCAAAAAATTATTTCATAATTTTGTATCCATACACAACGCAGTTCCTCTGCGGCAGACCTAGAGCGGGCTAGCTAGCAGCTCATTGGTTCGCTCAGAGAGAACTGCTTAAGCCTATGGGAGAGCGGGGCTGAACCCGCTTCCAATGAGAGGCGCCCGCGCGCTCATTGCGTCATGACCCGCCAGAATGGGCGTGGCCATGGTGTATATAAGGAGCTCTCCCAGGCTTATATGTTGATTCATTTCATCTTCAGCAAGCTGCACGCTTCTGCTGTTCCTGAGAAAAGCCATCGCCGTCGAAGAAGGCATCCTCTAGCGAGCTCAAGGACCCTGAAGAAGCCGGCCGTCTTCGCCACCTTCAGCCGCCCTGCAAGCTAGGCCATCCGACGATTGTATCCTTTTCTCTATATCTAAAAGAGCCGAGCGTCTTTTTAAAGATGTCTCGTTTTTCCTGCGGCTCTTGCCGCGCTCGTCTCGAGGACGGAGACCGCCATGTCATCTGCGCTCTCTGCTTGGGACTCGAGCATGCAGAACTCGCCCTCGCTGATGGAGGATGCGACTTCTGTGAAAGCCTGCCGTTATCGTCCCTGCGGGCACGACTTCTGGCAGTGAAAACCGCTCCCGCGCCGCCTATTCTCTCGCCGCGTAAAAAGAAACGCCGCTCTCAAAGGCCGCCGGAGCCCCCAGCGGAAACATGCGGGCCGCCGCCGCCGCCTCCCGCTTCCCGCTCTCCCTCCCCGCCCCTGCCGGACATTCAGTTGCCGCCGAGTGGCCGCTCTGTTGTTTCCGATGACGCCGCGGAGGAGAAGGACTCCTGTTCACTGCTCGCTTCTGACAGTGAAGACTGGTCATCTCTCGGATCCGCGAGAGAGTCGACGGGGACCCGCGCCGGGATAGAAGAGGAGCTGATGCGCCTCCTCTCACAGGCCGTCGAACGCCTCGGTCTCGAGTGGTCTCCTCCACCCGAGCAGGCCCCGAACCGAATGGACGGTAGCTTTTTTCATCGGCGCTCGACCCCCGCGTGCACCCGGGCCGCTCCATTCCTGCCTGAACTTCACGCAGAGCTGACAAAATCCTGGAATGCACCGCTCTCGGCTAGAAATCGCTCCGATATATCCGCCTCGCTGCGCTCGGTGGACGGAGCCGCCGAGAAAGGCTATGCAGCCATGCCGCCCGTCGAGGACTTGGTCGCCACGCACCTCTGCCCGCCCTCCGCTAGATGGCGTTCTTCACCCACGCTTCCTTCGAAAGCTTGCAGAGCGACCTCGAGCTTTCATGCTCGCGCTTACGCCGCCGCCGGTCAGGCCGCCGCTGCGCTTCACTCTATGTCTGTCCTCCAAGTGTTACAGAGCGATATTCTCCGTGAATGGGCCGAAGGCGGTAGAAAACCCCCCCCCGCCGTCACGGATTTGAGAAGTGCTACGGATCTCGCCCTTCGCGCCACTAAAGCCGCCGCACAAGCTCTGGGGAAATGCATGGCCAGCCTTTGTGTTGCTGAGAGACACTTATGGCTCACGCTCGCCGACATGGGAGATTCTGAGCGCGCCGCGTTTCTCAACGCGCCCCTCTCCCCGACGGGCCTGTTTGGATCTGCCGTCACGGGAATCGTCGATCGCTTTTCTGAAGTACAGAAAGCTACTCAGGCGATGAACTTGTTTCTACCCCGCCGCGCTAGCTCTTCAGCGGGCCGCTCTCACGAGCCCTCCGCCAGAGCCCCATCACAGCGCCCCCCTCCGCAGACTCAAACAGCTCAGCGCAGTCAGAGCGGCCGCCCTCGCTCTCGCTCTGACAGCCGCCGCAGACCGCCGCCCCCCCGTGGCCCGCGACCTAAGATCACGCTGAAGCCTGATCATCAGAAGTCTGCCTAACAATGTCAAGAAAACGACGGTGCTCTCCCGCTGCGGCCGGACCGCCGTCAAAGCTTCGCCCTCTGCCAGTCCCCGTTATTTCGCCGACTGCTGTAGTGTTGACCGCCACAAACAAGCCGGTGTCCCAGCCCGCTTGCGAGCGACAAAAAGCCGTTTTTACGGCTACCCAGAGAAATCTCAAAAAGAGAAATTTTGCCAGTTGTGTAGAAAATGTGCCCACAATCATGTGTTCACCCATACACACAAGCATAACATATCCCGTGTCTCTATCAGAGCCCCATCACATGAAACGGGCACAGCCCGCTCTAATATCAGAGAACATAAACACGCCCACGAGCTCGTGCACGTGTCCCCTCTCTGCTCGCTCTGTGTCACGGCCCATAGACTCCTCTCTGAGTGCAAATCCCGTTGCCACACACATTCAAAGCGCGCCCACACACTGTGTCCAGCCCGCTATGTGCAGCAATCAGGGCAATACAGCCATTCGGCCACTAGCCGCATGCTCCAAAGCGTGGGAAGCCATTCCAGGCATTTCCCCGTGGGTGTTTAGCATTATAAAGAACGGCTACCTGCTACAGTTTCGCCGCCGCCCGCCTCGTGCGCGCGCGCAGCTCGAATCTTCTGTCAGCCCGCTGGCCGCCGGCACGCTCTGCTCAGAAATTGCGACGCTGTTGCAAAAGGGCGCGATAGAGAGAGTCCCGCCATCTATGACCGAGTCGGGGTTTTACGGCCGTTATTTTCTGGTTCCCAAGAAAGACGGCGGCCTCAGACCGATCTTAGATCTCAGGTCTTTGAACAAAGCGCTCATGAAGAGACCGTTCAAGATGCTCACTACCAGGAAACTCCTCGCGCAGGTGCGCCAGGGGGACTGGTTCATATCTCTAGACCTGAAAGACGCCTATTTTCAGATCCAGATAAATCCCCGTCACAGGCCATTCTTACGTTTCGCCTTCGAGGGTCTTGTTTATCAATACGCCGTTCTCCCGTTCGGCTTATCTCTGGCGCCCCGTACATTCACGAAGTGCATGGATACGGCGCTCGCCCCCCTGCGAAGCCAGGGGCTGCGCATTCTGAATTATCTGGACGACTGGCTGATTTTGGCCCAATCACAGACGGAGCTTCTGTCGCACCGCGCAGTTCTCCTCGACCATTTGGAAACGCTGGGCCTCTCTGTCAACTGGACAAAGAGCTCCCTTCATCCCAGTCAATCGATTTCCTTCCTAGGAATAGATTTGGACTCGGTCACGATGACGGCTCGCCTGTCTACACAGCGCGCGCGCAGTGTTCAGCGTCTAGCCGCCTCGTTCCAGATGGGCACCCGCAGGCCTCTGAAAACTTTTCAGAGGATGCTGGGTTACATGGCCTCAGCCTCCGCTGTACTTCAGTTGGGCCTTCTGCACATGCGCCCGCTTCAGTTCTGGTTGAACAGCCGTGTACCCCACCGCGCGTGGAACACGGGCCGCCAGCTGATCAGGGTTACGCAAACGTGTCTCACGGCGCTGCAGCCATGGACAGTAGCAGAATGGTTTCGTCTAGGCGTCACGATGGGGACCTTTTCCTGCCGAAAAGTCATCTCGACAGATGCATCCAACACGGGTTGGGGTGCAGTCTGCGAGGGCTCACCGGCCTTCGGCCACTGGTCGATTCAGGAAAGCCCATTACACATAAACTGTCTGGAAATGCTGGCGGTCGAGAACGCGCTCTCGCACTTTCTCCCGCGCTTCCAGGGACACCACGTCCTGATCCGTTCGGACAATATGGCCGTGGTCTCCTATCTCAACCGTCAGGGCGGTGTCAGATCCAGAAATCTCTGTCTACTGACGCACCGCATTCTAGTTTGGTCTCAGAGCCGCCTGCTCTCGCTCAGAGCGACGCACGTGCCAGGCCATCTGAACGACGGTCCAGACATACTGTCCAGGAACCTCATCTCCACAGGAGAATGGTCCCTGAACTCACAGACGGTCCAGTTACTGTGGCGACTATTCGGCAGAGCAGAAGTAGACCTCTTCGCGTCAGAAGAGAACGCTCACTGCCCAATATATTTCTCGAAGAGCGAGGACGCGCTAGCCCAGGAATGGCCTCGCCGCCCGCTCTATGCATTCCCTCCGATCGCTCTGTTACCACAGGTAATTCAGAGGATCAGGGACACACGCCACTCGGTGCTCCTCATAGCCCCGCGTTGGGAGAGTCAGAATTGGGTTCCGGAGCTCACGCAGCTGTCACAGACAGCCCCGTGGCCCATCCCAGTCAGAGCAGATCTCCTCTCTCAAGCTCGCGGCACGATCTGGCACCCCCATCCACAGCGCTGGGCGCTACATGCATGGGTGATCAACGACTATTCGTTGATTTGCCAGAGGGAGTAAGAAACACTATCATACAGGCTAGAGCACCTTCCACGAGAAGGCTCTATGCGTCTAAATGGTCTGTGTTCTCAAAATGGTGCACCGACAAACAGCTGGACCCACGGTCGTGCGAGGTGCCGTCTTTGCTTGTTTTCCTTCAAGAGATGCTGGACAAGGGCAGGTCCCCCTCCACTCTCAAGGTTTATGTGGCAGCCGTCGCGGCGTTCGCGGAACCCCGACGCGCTCAGTCATTGGGCAAAGACGAGTTAGTCATCCGCTTCCTCAGGGGAGCTAAGAGGATGAACCCTCCGCGGCCCCCGTCGGTTCCGGTTTGGGATCTTTCTATAGTCCTTGAAGCTATGAAAGCACCCCCGTTCGAACCGCTCGAGTCTGTGGATCTGAAATACCTCTCGCTCAAAACCGTTTTCCTGACGGCTCTGTCCTCAGTTAAACGCGTTGGGGATCTTCACGCGCTCTCATCCAGCGCCGCGTGTCTTGAGTTTGGACCGAATGATTCGATTGTCATTCTCAAACCTAGGCATGGCTATGTCCCGAAGGCGATTGGTACCCCGTTCAGGGCTCAGATTATCTCCCTATCGGCTCTGCCTTCATCCGATAGTGAGCGCGATGCCAATCTCCTTTGTCCGGTGCGGGCTCTGAGATTGTACACTACGCGCGCTGCCGCGTTCAGACGCGCTGAGCAGCTTTTCGTGTCGTTTGGGGGGCGCACCAAGGGTCTGGCCGCCTCAAAACAGACACTGTCTAGATGGATAGTGGACGCTATCGCCTCTGCTTACGCATCTAAATGCCTGCCCTGCCCTCTGGGCATCAGGGCGCACTCCACTAGAGGCATGGCCTCATCGTGGGCATGGTCCTGTGGAATTTCCGTTCATGACATTTGTGTGGCCGCGGGATGGGCCTCCCCGTCCACTTTTGTCAGGTTTTATAACTTGGAAGTTCCCGCCTTGCAGGCAAAATTACTAGCTGTCTGACGAACAGCTCTCTAAGAAGCTGCATTTCTGGAGGTCCCTCACAACCGGTTCGCCCCTTGTGCTCTCCTGTAATGCTTATACACTTCATGTGCCCGCTCTGCTGGCCCCATACATGCTTATGTGTACACTTCATGAGCCCGCTCTGCGGCCTCTTTGTACATTCACTCCACGTTAAAAAATCCCCCCGGTATATCCCTGGGTTTTTTTTCATGAGTGGATTCGTAGCGCGCACGGCGTTGGCCAGGTGTTCCCGCAGCGTAAGCTAGCTTACGCAATACGAGAGAACCTCTCGTAAGAGAACGAATCGGTTACCTAACGTAACCTCGGTTCTCTCTAGAAGAGGGAACGAGTATTGCGTTCCCGGCCGTGCTTGCGCTACTAGCGTTTCGCTTCACGCTGAAATAAATCAACATATAAGCCTGGGAGAGCTCCTTATATACACCATGGCCACGCCCATTCTGGCGGGTCATGACGCAATGAGCGCGCGGGCGCCTCTCATTGGAAGCGGGTTCAGCCCCGCTCTCCCATAGGCTTAAGCAGTTCTCTCTGAGCGAACCAATGAGCTGCTAGCTAGCCCGCTCTAGGTCTGCCGCAGAGGAACTGCGTTGTGTATGGATACAAAATTATGAAATAATTTTTTGGCTTCAATATCTCAGCAAAGATGAATCTTTCCCGCAGCGTAAGCTAGCTTACGCAATACTCGTTCCCTCTTCTAGAGAGAACCGAGGTTACGTTAGGTAACCGATTCGTTCGTCTGAAACAAGATTGACATATGCATCTCGAACGGCTTGAGGGTGAGTAATGCATGTGTTCAATATCATTTTTGGCCGAACTATCCCTTTAAGCTGAATAGTTTGTGTCAAACATAGCACCAGCTTACAGGCCAAAGAGCTTAACTCTAATATATCTTCAGAATGCAGGTTTTTGCTTCAAGCTAACTCTTGGCGTGTTGTTGAAATCGTGGCCTCGCTCAGAAGTGACTTGCCTCTAGCCACTCTCTAAAAGAGGCCAAACCTGTGTTTTGAAGTGGTTGTTCATGTCTGGGCAGCCAATGATGAATAATCAGATTACTTTTTTTCCAAGTGACGCATTACTTTTAAATTCAAAACAAAACATCTGAGTTACTTTTTCAAATAACTAGGCAAGTTACTTTGTTTACCATGTTAAGATTCGCTTTTGGTGTGGCCTTTACATTTGCCAAAAATAGAACTTTTGTTTATTCTTATTAAAAAACAAACAAGCATGCCCAGCCCAGGCGACAAAAAGTAATGCTGTTACACATTACTTTACATAAAAAGTAAGTATCGCAATCAGTTACTTTTTTAGGGAGTAATGCAATACTGTAATACATTACTTTTAAAAGTAACTTTCCCCAACACTACCTGTGTGTCATGTGGTGCAATAAAGCAGTTAAATGTTCTCAAAAGTATTGATTCTTACCATACGCAAATGGGTCCACTTCCTTCTCTTTTCCATCTGATGGAAAACAATTTGAAATTAGACAAAAAATTATATACATCATATATATATATATATATATATATATATATATATATATATATATATATATATACGTGGTAAAACAGTAATAACTTGCCTTGGGCAGCAGAGTCAGACGAAGCTAAGATCATAGCAGAGAGCAGAATCAGAGATGTGAAAAAAGAAAAACAGATAATAATCATTATTATGCATGTTTATGTTCACTAAAACATTCAATACCTAAAGCAAGAGTGTTACATTATGTTATTTGTTTGTGGAGGGTTTTGTTTGTGAGAAAGATCAGAGTGCCCAAAGCTATGATGCAATACTGGCAAAAATATGACATTGCTTAATAAATGTGCACGATTCAGGCACAATAACAGGGTTTTTGACAGGGTTAATACAATTTGTATTAAACTTTAAGAAATGCATTAGACTAATTGATGCCTGTGAGACACGAAAGAAAATTCTTTCTGATTTGCCTGTACTGTAATACTAAAATATATTTGTCTAAATGTCTCATGCTTTTATGTGGTAACTTATGCTAGTAACTTATCATAATGTAGTTGATCGTTGATCGTAAACTAGCCGGAATCACCAAAGTGGAATGAGCTTTTTAATGAATGAAAAGAATGTCTTAAAGCTTATTGACAAGCCTGACATCAGATGCATCTCCACCACAGTCCATTAAAAAGTCTTTTAATATTACATTTAATAGGTGGCAGTGGATAATTTGACAGGTGGACTTATTTATAGGATGGATATTACTACTCTGCCTCTTTTTTGTAAAGGTTCTGCTGATTATTTAATTCGACTCACAAATGTCAGTCTGTCAACATATTTCATAATTTTATAGGGATGCACAGCATAGTGTTGGAAAATCTGTAATTATCTGCACATAAGAGTTGAAAGGGGGAGAGCAAGTTCAGCAATATTACAAAACAAAACGTCAATGAAAAGAGAGGGGAAGTGGAAACAAAAAGGCTAAATGTATAATACACTCAAGAGTCCATTCCAATCAAGAAAGGTCCATTGTCTCTTGTCAATATTGTGGTTACGTATGGAGCACAGCTCACACTGAAGTTACATTCAAACTAAACAGCTTTCTGTTGGTCACCGCAGCGAATCTACACGATCAGCGTGAACACGTTGTGAAATCTGCATGGTTGCGGTACAGGTGACCCAACCTTTACGATAAAAACACTGAAAGCTGTTGCTTATTGCTTGCGCCTATACCTATAGTTCATGATTACTAAAACACACCATACCTCAAAACTAAAGTTTCATTATTGTCATATTTGGTTCCATGAAGAACCTTTAACATCCATGGAACCTCTCCCTTGCACAAAAGGTTCTTTATAGTGAAAAAAAACATGGTTCTTTTAACTCTTTCCTCGCCATTGATGGTAATTTCCATAATTTGTGAGACAACGCTTCCTCGCCATTGACGAAAATGTTCGGCTTTCCGTGTTTTCACTGTTTTATGGTAGTGTATTCTATTACACATCTTCTGAAAGAGTACTGAACACAGGCGAAGAAGCAGCAGAAACAAGCGATATCATATGTAAGCAGATGCATATGTAAAATAACACGATCATCAACATTAAACAGCATACACTCTAAAAAATGCTGGGTTGTTTTAACCTAATTTTGGGTTTTTAACCCAACGGATGGGTTTGTCCATATTTGACCCAAAGTTGGGTTTAAACAACCCAGCATTTTTGAGAGTGTCTAAATTAAAACTGCCTAACGTTACTGAATGAAATGTCGACCCAGGACGAGGTACAGGACTCTGAAACTTTGGGGGTGTTGATAGACTCAATCTACAATCCATATATGTTTTGATCATCGCTTTTCTAAGCTTTTTGCTCAAAATGTTGCTTTTTTCCATGAAACTTACCCAAATTCAAGTGTTAATAAAAAGGAATGCATGAAGCTAGAATAGCAGAGGGTCTAAAGGAGATGGTCTGTTCTTTTGATATACTCAGATATTCATACAACAAAATATTCTATGAATCGTTAAAATACGACCATTAATCGTTTGTGAAAATGCAAAAAAATGCTGGGAAAGTTTTTCAAAAACATAGTCGGGGAAAGAGTTAAAAACTGCTCACTGAAAGGTGATAGGGTTTATTTACGGGAAAGGTCAAAAGGTCATTTTTTCAAAGAAAGCGGCAATTAAAAAGAGACAGTGAAGGAATTAAATACGGAATTGATGAAAGAAGGGAGGAAAAATTAAAGAAAGAAGAAAAAAGATGAAACAATGAAATTAATGAATGGAAATGAAGGAAGGAAGGAAAGAAAGAAAGGAATTAAGAGGGAATGAACCTTGTGGTTGCAGTGTGAAAGATAACCAGATGAAAATCAGTCTGACAGTCATCAGTGCACTCAGCAATGGGTGGCGGGTTTGTTGACGGAGCTAAAGGATAAATGTTTCACCAGTTAGAGAGCTGTGTGTGTGAGAATGAATCTCGTGCACATGTGCTGGTGGTTTCTTTTGGCCTAATTGTGGGTAGGGTGGAGTCTCTCAGAGGAATGAGATGTATTAAATGGACGCTCTCATTTCAGAAATGAAGTTTGTTTGGCAAAAGCAGGACGGCAATTCACAGGCATGTGAAAACACGTATAAACATGAAGCTTTCGATCAGTCTACTGAAGAACTATAGAGTGCACACACACACACACACTCCCAGGATAGGAAAGGTCACTGATCAAATTCTCAGTTAAGAACTCTAGGATGGTGCTAATGTGTCATCATGTCATGGCTTTTTCCCCATCCTCTTCCAGCTCTTTCCGATCCCAGCGGACACAGGGAGACTGGAGTGTGATGGAGGGGGCACTTACCCGCCACATAGACAAGGAGGGAAAAAAGGAAGACCAGAACAGTTTCCATGACAACTGCAATGGGAAGAGAGAAAGAGAGAGAGAGAGAGAGAGAAAAAATAGTAAATGGACTGAGAATTGGTGTTAGTGGGTTACATGTTTACCACATTCAGAAAGACTGGAAAGATCTCACAGTATTCAGAATCATGATTATGTCCTGTCCTTGAGTGGTGTATTGTCATTGTACCTGCAATATTGAAAGAGCCTGACGGCAGCATCAGGTTAAATTTAGATACCCTAGCCTCATAAATCACAGATACACATCTTGTGGTTTTTTAAATGTTCTCAGAGTTCACTGAATAAACCAGGTGTGTCTCTGTGTGTGTGTGTGTGTGTGTGTGTGTGTGTGTGTGTGTGTGATTTTATGTCTGGGGTAAAGTTGTTGTTGCGTAACAGTGTTTGGTGCCCAGATGTCCACAATCTTATATCACATTGTGAGTAATTTGGTATCAGGTTGAAGGCATATAAAATATACATATAACAACACATGTTCAAAAGTTTGGACGTTTTATACGATTTATTTATGTTTTTGAAAGGCATACAAAGGGTGCATTAATTTGATCAAAAACACAGTAAAAACAGTATAGTATTGTGAAATACTATTACAATAAAAAATATATGTATATATATTTTAAAATGTAATTATTCATGTGATGGCAAATATTAATTTTCAGTGTCATTAACCCAGTCTTCAATGTCACACGATCCTTCAGAAGTCATTCTAATATGCTAATATTATAATCAACGTTGAAAACAGTTGTGCTGTTTAATGTTTTAGTGGGACTTTTTTTCAAGATTCTTTGATGAATATAAATTTCAAAATAGCAGCATATTTGAAATTCACCTCATAGATCATATACTCCAATACCAATAATACATATACATAGTTATATGTGGCAAGTTCAGTGTGAGAAAAAAGTCTGAGACATGACATCATCTTTATGAAATGAGGTCTACACTACCTTCTGCAGGTCACAGTTAGTAGCATGACTGACTTTTTAAACCACACGTTGTACGAGATTTCAATTTTAATTTGTCACATTACTGTAGCGCTTGGGCGAAATCACGATGGCTTATTCGTTCTAAGCTTCAGAAAGCTTTTAACCTTTTGGACTTCTTCATGTAAATCACAGGCATAGCACCGATGAGTCTGAATCAAATTGCCCCATTGTCACTTTAGTGGCATGGCAGATGCTAAACAGAAAACACCTCCAAACTCCCTCATGAGCTTCAAAAAGATCTAATTCAACTCATCTTCCCTCTCATATATAGGCACGAAGACCATGTGGCATGGACGGACATCTGAGAGACGTGCCAATACATACACAAACATTCTTTATTTAACTCATAATATAAGTCATTCCACAATATGATATATTCCTGTGTGTATGCATGTTCCGCACCCTTATATTAGCCTGGTTATGACTTTCTAGTTGTGTTAATTGAACTCTAAGTTCTTATATTCATGTGTAAGGATGTATCTCTACTTTTGTATCTTTCTTGGTATCGAATTAACCCTCTCGGTTTGCCTTTGCTAAATATGTAGTCGGTTACGATAAAATGTATTATACTATGTTTGCCATCCTTTGGAGTAAAAATGACCAATTCTGTCAGAAGGAGACAAAGAAACTCTCTCCCGCTGAAAGTTTTCTAACTACTGTACTATTGGTCATTTAACTGAGTCAAGTACTAAGTGTTCCTTTAAGGACGATGACAAAAGTCTCTAGCTTGCTGTTTGTTCTCTAGTCTTAGCTTTGTCTTGTGTTTTGGTCTTGCCTTGTTTTAGTCTTTCGTCCGTGCTCATTCATTTCTATCTCCGGGTGAAAAGGACTTTCCCTGATTTTCCGGCAACTTTGCTTTCAAGTAAACCTTTTAAACTTCCCGCGAACGACGCGCTCTCCGGAAGAACGCTTCAAACTCACGGACACACCGAGGATCTATGGGGTTATAATTGTTGCATCATTCCAAATAAATAGATTGAGATTCACAAACAAATGTGAAGAGTTTCACAAAAATGTATAAAACTCACAAATAAATAAAATGAGATTTGCACAAAAAAATATATATATTTACAAATGTGTTTTATGTCACAAACACAACTCTGCCTGGCATTTATTTGTGAACCGCTTTCTGTGCGTTTGTAAATCACTGCACGCATTTGTGAATTGCTTCTTGTGCATTTGTAAATCCCCTCACGCATCTGTGGATTTTGAAACACTTCTAGCGTCGACGTGCAGACAAATCCACAAATAAGTGGACTCTATTTATAATTTATTACTCTCATTATTTGTTTTAGTGTAGTCGTATGTTTTCGTAGTTTAATTTATTAAAACACATTATACACTTGATTGTCTGTCTGCTGCTCATCGACCAAAGTCTCTTAAATGTGTGATCTTAAGCTACAAGCTTTTATACTGTTGAGTACTTTAGTTAGTAATCTAATAGAACAGAAAAGTTATTTTTCATGACCAGAAGAATAACCTTTCTGGAGCGTTGATAAGAAGAACGTATCGGTTCGGTTGACGAACAGATTAGTCGATGTGAAATTAATTCTGTTAAAAGTTATTCTAAAAACTGATCTAGATTATCTATATATTCATAATTAATTATATAGGTACAAATACATGGGCTATGTATCCCCTTTTTAGGCTATTTAAATATTTAGGCAATAATTAATCATAACAAATTATGATTAATTAATTATACATATAAATTCCCTTTTTGAGCTAATTCGCTAACTATATGTAATCATTCATCCTGCCAGAAGTCCTGTAGTCCCTCAAATTAATATTTTTTTATGAGTTTTCAACTAAACTTTCCAGGTTTATTTAATTAGCATTTTACATAATGTTTACACATTGACAGGTGGATATACTCATGTAAAGGTCTACAATGCCTTCAAAATGAGCTGTCTCACTGTCTCTATCTGTCTTTCTTTTCCTAACATTTTTCTCAGTGATTTGACTTTCTGTCTGTGAGTGCTGTACTAACATTTGTTATAGGAGGACAAAGTCATTTGTTCATTATGTCATGGGCAGGATATTGCTGGATTCTGCAGCAGTCCCACAATCCCTATGACAGCTTGCAGGGACCAGATCAGAGCAGAGTCATTTACTAGGACATTAAGCATTGGAGAGCCATCGACAAGAAAATGACACAGGGTAGAGGAGATTAACTGCCCTTGACCACAGAAAGGACATTTATCCTATACTTCTCTGGGTGTTTCAAGAAATGGATTGTGTCACAAGAACAATAAAACAAATCACAACACAGTCATTGAGCACAGCTTTTCAAACTTATGAAAATCTATTCATCTCTTCAGCGTATGACAGTTCTAGTTCCTTTAATAGACAAGCCGCAAAAAAAATAAAAAAATCTAAAAACTTATTAGAAAAACAGAAACAGCCAATGTTCACAGACAAAACAGTCTTCAAGTCATTGTCAGAAGTACATTTTTTTTTAAAATATTTGTTCAATCGTGTAGCCATATGGCTTAACATAGAAAAGAAAAAGGCATGTTTTAAATTCTAAAAATACCAAACGCCCCTTCTGCTTCTCTACCCTTTAAAGCCAATCCTGCCATCGCCACCCTGGTGTTAAGTAGGGCATCATCATCATCATCTCAAAATGGTGTCATGATCATCCTGTGGAAGGGAACCGGGTCATTCTGAGAAAATGGTGTTGCCAGGTATAATAACTGTTGAAATTTTCGAGATACTGAACTAATTCACACAACACTCACTTAACTCAGTTTAGTGTGCAATGCAACACAATAGCAACAGTTCAAAAAACAAGTAGCCTAAGCAAATATCTAAGGAAAACTCAAGGACGTCCCAAAGACCCTTGTATGTGAAACTTCACAACTACTCTACACGGATTATGAATCTGTCACTAGTTCGCAATTTTCAAAAGATAAACTCTGTTACAGATTTGAAAAAGTCATGTAAGAATTAGAAATAGCTTGAGCTGTTTCTGACAAATTACCGGAAAACGTCTCGGTTACGTATGTAACCTTTGTTCCCTGAGTAGGAGGGTTGGGGAACACCTTTGGTGTGGACGAATGTCTGAAGCCCTTATACCATCATGCCAATTTAATATTTGGCCAATAGCTCTTAGCACCACCCTAAGAATACGTCACGACTCACATATGCTTCATATTAGTGTGGTGTGCGCGATTTCCTCAGATTCCATGACGAAGGAAGCACTAATCAAGTATGGGAAGGCCGGCATTGCAGTGTCTCGTTCCCTACTCAGGGAACAAAGATTACATACATAACAGAGACGTTCCCTTTCACAGGTCTCTCATCACTGTGAATATAGCTATGGGAATGATTTATACCATAACACCTTCACATACCTGAGAATAGCTGGAAGACCGTGGAAAGTGTCCGCTCAAGCAGATAAGACCTGGGAGCCGGAAGACCATAGAATTTGATAAGTGTTCGGAGAGGACCATCTTGCCGCAACACAAATATCCTCCAAAGAAGAGCCCCTAAACAGAGCTTGAGAAGAAGCCCTTCCTCTAGTGGAATGGACACTCACACCTAGAGGCGAGTCCAAACCACACACCTCATGAGCTGCCGAGACAGCCTCACTCACCCAATGAGACATTCTCTGTTTGGTGACAGCAGTCCCTCTGCTTTTACCACCAAAACACACAAACAATTGCTCCGATCTACGCCACTGGGCTGAGCGGTCGACATAGACCTTCAGTGCCCTGACCAGTCAAAGGCCGAGAGGCTGTGCATCACTCTGTCTCTGAATCAAGATGAGAAAAAGCCTCCAAAACCACCTGCTGGGAACGAAAAGGGTTTGACACAACCTTAGGAATGTATCCTGGCCTGGGATGCATCAAGACTTTAACCAGCCCCAGGGCAAAGTCTATACAGGAAAGGCTGACAGAAAGAGCCTGCAGGTCCCTATTCTCTTAAGAGAGGAAAGGGCCACCAAAAGAACTGTCTTAAGAGTCAACATCTTCTCTGACACAGATTCTAATGGTTCAAACGGCTGACCTGCCAGACCTTCCATAACAATG